CGCGATGGGGTGTTAATACTATCTGGTTAGACATAAAAGCGATTCAGGAAGTGAAATACCCAAATTTGACTGCAGTTCTCTTCCTCATTTGTTTTATTACACAAGTTTAAAATGAGCTGTCCCTCACTTAACTTAAAGTAAAAGAGAACAGTCAGCATATGTGTGTGTTACGGTTGGTGAAGAATGAGTGCTATTCCAAACTTCAGATTCCACAGTTCCGTGCTGAAAATTCTCCACTCGGGAAAGATTGGGCACTAGCTATAGAACTGTTATGTCAAAATGGAACGAAATGGTGGCTTAGGCCTGTGGGAGGAAGGAGTTGAAACATTAGCGCCGAGGTAAGCTTGTCGCATTTCTTAGGTATTCGTGGATTCTAGGAAAAAGAGGAGTCATAATAATGCACTTGCAAGGAAGACTCGAAGAGATCAGAAATGCATTTTGGTAGTTCTAAGCGCACAAACAAATAATCGGCTTAGGAGAAACGAAAGCAAACTGCATCACTTGGAACTTTGAGCTCAGCCATTCGTTATAAACGACCTCTTTTTGGCCCCAACCGGTTTTTTTCAATGCATATTGAATGTTTGGACTGCCTAACATGCTCCCTGGATGGGGATTTTGACCATTTAGGGTTTTCCTTAGGAGGAGAAATTGATCAGCGGCCACTGAAAATGTCAAAATCCCCTGGGGTTGCCCCCTCTCCAGGGGGAAGACACTGATAAGTGCATAAAGACTATCGTTTGTTACACCCCCTTCCCCTAAGAAACGGGATTACACTGAATATGGTGTAATGAAAACCAGCTCATACAAACAGATTGCTAAAGCATTCATTCTACAACACGACTACTCACAAAGCTAACATTTGTAACTAAGGTAACTTGAGTTTTGTTAAGACGAGTGCAGCTGGTTTGCAAGACAACTGGCAGAGGGTTATCTAATAAGAACCAAAAGCTAAAACATTCTTCTCCAGAAAAAAAATCTACATTCACTAACTTGATAGAAGGAGCATTGTACAACACTGGCTTATTAGGTGGCCCAACTTACAATGGCAGTTCTGAGAATCCTACACCCTCTGCAAAATGTACTTGTTGATTCTGGCAAGCATATGACTAATATTTACTGACAAACTGCAAGGTACCCAATTGTATTGTGTGAGATACGAGTTATGAAAACAAAAATTATTTGCAGTGTCGGTTGTAGCATGAGACATATTTTGCGTAAGGCAGGGGTAGAAGACTCCAATCTGAAATTTCCGTATCTGGATCATCCAACATAAAGTGAGATCACATCCGGTTTAAACTACGCTGTGCAGCTCGTTTCACAAAGCGAAAAAATGGCATTTCGATTGGGGAAGATTTCCTCTTTTTGCAAACCACCAGGTTTTTGTCCTTTCATACTGAGAATAGAAAGATGTTGCATGCACATTTCTTCAACTTTTTAAGCAAATTTGGCAAAAGAGAACAGTTTAGTATTGTTTTGAAGAAAATAATGGAGAGCCTTCTGCCATCAAATGGCAGATTTCACACAGTTGCAAAACTGGTGTTGTTGCGACTTTTGGTTCTTGTTCATGATTCAGCGATAACAGAGGCCGTTTTTTCTGAAAGTGAACACAGTTGAAGCTCTGTATCCATGTGCGTGTGGTGGAAAAGACAAGCTGTATTGTATACTCAAGGTTAGTATCGTATTTCTGTATCTCTTGTTGAATACTGTTTTTCTCTGTAAGAAATAATTAATGTTGAGAGTTAGAGTTCATTGTAAATGTGGGCTTTGGGGATATCAGATTTCCCTGAAATGATCAACAAAGGAAGTCCACGAGTACATCTATGGGCCATGACCAATTCTACGACCAGTTATGTGTTGCAACTTTCCTTCAGTTACCCAGTGGCTAATTGTACATTCCTCTGTATTGTTTGAACTATAATGCTGACCTGGGGATTATCTTCTTCTGGCAGTTCTAAAAGAGGGGGGTTGGCATGTTTAGTTACAATGTAGCTCTCAATGGTATCGTAACATTCTTACCCCTTAACTTTACCCCCTCTTTTGACATACGCAGGGGTGTAGCCAGGATTTTTCAAAGGGGGGGGGGG